TGATGAACAGCTTCCCCCAGGGGTACGGCCCCCCTACCTCCCCTGCCACCGTGACTAGCAGGGGCTTCGGACCGGCGGGATCCCCTGGGCCCATGGACGTCTTCTCGGCCGCCCCCGGGGACACCACCGTGGGCTACGTGCAGGCGGCATCACCCCAGCCGTCGTCCTTCCCCGTCGCCGTCAACAGGGTAATGTGCTCGAGACCCCCGGGGTAATGGGTGCGACCTCGGGGGGGAAAGGGGGGGATAGGGGGTGGGTGTTTGGGTGCATGGTATGGGGGTTGTGGGGAGGGGGGGTGGAAGGGGGGGGGTGTGGGTGTATGGTATGGGGGTGGGGGAAGGGGGGGGGGATAAGTGGGTGTGGGGGGGAAGGGGGTGTTTGGGTGTATGGTAGTGGGGGGAGGGGGGGGAATGTGTGGGTGGGGGGAAGGGGGTGTTTGGGTGCATGGTAGGGGGTGGGAGGGAAGGGGGGGCTTGTGTGAAAAGGGGGTGAGGGTGTTGGGTGGATGTGAATGGGTGAGTGGGGAAGGGGGTAATGGGGATGTGGAGGGGGAGGGGAAGGGCGGGGAGGGGTGTCTAAGGGACTGAGGTAGAGGACAGGTTAATGGTTGGAGGAACGAATGGGGAAGGGGAGGAGGAACGAATGGGGAAGGGGAGGAGGAACGAATGGGGAAGGGGAGGAGGAACGAATGGGGAAGGGGAGGAGGAACGAATGGGGAAGGGGAGGAGGAATGAATGGGGAAGGGGAGGAGGAATGAATGGGGAAGGGGAGGAGGAATGAATGGGGAAGGGGAGGAGGAACTGAATGGGGAAGGGGAGGAGGAACGAATGGGGAAGGGGAGGAGGAACGAATGGGGAAGGGGAGGAGGAACGAATGGGGAAGGGGAGGAGGAATGAATGGGGAAGGGGAGGAGGAATGAATGGGGAAGGGGAGGAGGAATGAATGGGGAAGGGGAGGAGGAACGAATGGGGAAGGGGAGGAGGAACGAATGGGGAAGGGGAGGAGGAACGAATGGGGAAGGGGAGGAGGAATGAATGGGGAAGGGGAGGAGGAATGAATGGGGAAGGGGAGGAGGAATGAATGGGGAAGGGGAGGAGGAACGAATGGGGAAGGGGAGGAGGAACGAATGGGGAAGGGGAGGAGGAATGAATGGGGAAGGGGAGGAGGAATGAATGGGGAAGGGGAGGAGGAATGAATGGGGAAGGGGAGGAGGAATGAATGGGGAAGGGGAGGAGGAACGAATGGGGAAGGGGAGGAGGAACGAATGGGGAAGGGGAGGAGGAATGAATGGGGAAGGGGAGGAGGAACGAATGGGGAAGGGGAGGAGGAACGAATGGGGAAGGGGAGGAGGAATGAATGGGGAAGGGGAGGAGGAATGAATGGGGAAGGGGAGGAGGAATGAATGGGGGAAGGGGAGGAGGAATGAATGGGGAAGGGGAGGGAACGAATGGGGAAGGGGAGAGGAACGAATGGGGAAGGGGAGGAGGAATGAATGGGGAAGGGGAGGAGGAACGAAGGGGAAGGGGAGGAGGAACGAATGGGGAAGGGGAGGATGAATGAATGGGGAAGGGGAGGAGGAATGAATGGGGAAGGGGAGGAGGAGTGAAGGGGGAAGGGGAGGAGGGAATGATGGGGAAGGGGAGGAGGAATGAATGGGGAAGGGGAGGAGGAACGAATGGGGAAGGGGAGGAGGAACAACGAATGGGGAAGGGGAGGAGGAACGACGAGGAAGCGCGGAGGAGGAATGAATGGGGAAGGGGAAGGCAGGAATGAATGGGGAAGGGGAGGAGGAATGAATGGGGAAGGGGAGGAGGAAAAGAAGGGGAAGGGGAGGAGAGAAGGGGGAGGGGAGGAGGAAACGACTTAACGAAGGGGGAAGGGGAGGAGGAATGAATGGGGAAGGGGCGGAGGGAATGACTGGGGAAGGGGAGGCGGAATGAATGGGGAAGGGGGGAAAGGAACGAATGGGGAAGGGGAGGAGGAACGAATGGGGAAGGGGAGGAGGAGATGAATGGGGAAGGGGCAGGCGGAATGAATGGGGAAGGGGAGGAAGGAAATGAATGGGGAAGGGGAGGAGGAATGAATGGGGAAGGGGAGGAGGAACGAATGGGGAAGGGGAGGAGGAACGAATATGGGAAAAGGGGAGGAGGAATGAAGGGGGGAAAGGGGATGAGGAAACGGCATGGGGAAGGGGAGGCGGAAACGAATGGGGAAGGGGAGGAGGAATGAACTGGGGAAGGGGAGGAGGCAGATTGGGGGGACGGGGAGGAGGAATGAATGGGGGAAGGGGGGGAGGAATGAATGGGGACGGGGAGGAGGAACGAATGGGGAAGGGGAGCGAGGAACGAATGGGGAAGGGGAGGAGGAGCATGAATAGGGGAAGGGGAGGAGGAAACGAATGGGGAAGGGGAGGAGGAACGAATGGGGAAAGGGGAGACGGAATGAATTGGGAGGGGGGAGGAGGAACAATGAATGGGGAAGGAGGAGGAATGAATGGGGAAGGGGAGGAGGAGAATGAATGGGGAAAGGGAGGGGAACGAATGGGGAAGGGGAGGAGGAACGGGTAAGATAGTGATTGAGTGTCGATGGAGTTTTGAGTGGTTGGATGAGAGAAAAGAGGGATAAAGCAGAGAATAAAAGAAAGAACAAGATAAGAACAGGATAAATAATAATAATAATGAAAATAATAATGATAATAATAATGATAATAATAATAATAATAATAATAATAATAATAATAATAATAATAATAATAACAAAAGATTTATATCAGAGGAGAGAGAAAAAATAGAGAAAAAAAAACTGAATACAGACGAAACGAAAAAAAGATGACAAAGAAAGGAGGAAGAGAGGCAAAGACGATGAGGAAAAAGAAAGAAAAAAAGAAAAAAAAAATTAGCAGAAAGTGGCAAAGACGGAGAGAAATTCTTTTTGATCATTAAAGGCTGACTGGAGTATGTTGAGGTGACTTAAGGAAGATGGAACTTTCAGGAGGAAGGAGGAAGAGGGACGGGGGAGAATGAGGAGATAGGAGAGAGGTGATGAAAGAGGGAGAGGAGGAGGATTGGAGGAAGAGGATTGGAGGAAAAGGAGGAGGAGGAGAATTGGAGGACGAGGAGGAGAAGGAGGAGGAGGAGGAAGGATGAGAAGGGAAAGGTAGAGAAATTGAGAGAGGGATAGGTGGAAGAGGAGGAAGAGGAGAATGAGGAGATAGGAGAGAAGAGATGAAGGAGGGAGAAGAGGAGGATTGGAGGAGGGGATTGGAGGAGGAGGAGGAGGAGAAGAAGGAGGAGGGGGGGGGGAATTGGAGGACGAGAAGGAGAAGGAGGGGAGGGGGAGGGGGAGGATAAGGATGAGAAAGGGGAAAGGGAGAGAAAATGAGAGAGGGAAAGGTGGAGGAGAATTGAAGGAGGAGGAGGAGGAAGAGGAGGAGAATTGGAGGATTAGGAAGAGGAGGAGGAGGAGGGAGAGGGAGAAGGAGAGGGAGAGGGAGAAGTGAAAAAGGAGAGAAGGGGAGGGTGAAGAATTAGAAAAAGAAGGGAGAGACAAGATGACAGAGGGAGAGGTGGAGGAGGAGAAGAGAGAAGGAGAGAGAGAAAGAAAGGAGAGAAAGGGAAAAGAGAGAGGAGATGGAGAAGGCAAATGAAGAAGAGGTGAAGGTGAAGGGAGAAGGAGAAGAATAAAGGAGATAGAGAGAGGGGAGAAGAGAGGGGGAGAGGGAGAAAAGAAAGAAAACATATAGAAAAAGGGGAACAAATGAGACGGGGATGAAGAGAGGGAAATAGGAAAAGAAAACAAATACCCATCGGAACGAAAACGAAAACGAAAAAAAAAGAAATAAATTAAGAAAGAGAGAGAGAGAGGGAGAGAGAGAGAGAGAGAGAGAGAGAGAGAGAGAGAGAGAGAGAGAGAGAAGAGCGATGATAATGAGTGGATGAGGAGGAGCTTGAGCACAGGCAGGGATGGGGGTGGGGGGGGTGGGGGGAGGTAGAGGGGAAGGAGGGGGCGTAGGGGAGGGCATGGGGAAAGGGGAGGGTAGTGAATAGGGGAGGGAGGCAGGGGATAGGGGGAGGGGGAGGAGGGGAGGGGGTGGCTGGGGATAAGGGGGAGGAGGGTGAGGGGGAGGAGGGGGAGCGGAGGGGGGGGTAGAGATTTAGTTAAGGAGTTGAGTGGAGATTTAAAAGCCCGACCGAGACTCATGAATGAATGCATGAATGAATGATAAATAGGGCGATTCTCCTCACTTTTCTAAATGAAGATTTTCTTTTTCTTTTCTTTTTTTTCAATTTCATTTTTTTTTCTCGTTTTTTTCATTTTTTCGTCTCATGGCTTCACGATTTACCTGGAGGTAACTGATAGGATTATTGTGGCTGACTATATCTGCACGAAAATGTGGATAAAGAAAAGAGAAAAAGAAAGGAAAGAGAAGAAAGGAAGAAAGAGAAAAGATTGATGATTGATGTAATAGAGGAATAAAAGAGGAAAATATGCCCAATATTCCACAGACGTTATTTAAGGAGATGATTCAAATCTGGAGCTTTCTGGGATTCCCTCCCCCCCCCTTCCCCATCATCTTACACCTCCCCCCCCCCTCCGACTTTCCCTTCCCATTCCCCCTCTCTCTCTTAATCTTCCTCCAGTATCTTTTAACACCCTTTTACGCCAATCCTCTTCTCCCACTTCCTTTCCACTCTTCATTCACTTTCCTTCGCTCTCTTTTTCCCCCTCTCTCTACCCCTCTTTTCCTCTTTCTACCCTTCCTTTCTCCACCTCTTTCACTTTCTCTTTCCCTCCTTCCGTCTCTCTCTCCCCCTCCTTCATTACCTCTCTCTCTCTCTCCTTTTCTCTTTCTCCCCATCCATCCGTCTCTCTCCCGCCTACTCCCTATACCCCCCCCCCCCATTTCTTTTAACGTCTTTCTCTCTCCTTCTTCCCTCTCGCCATCCTTTCTTCTCCCTCCCCCGTCATCCCCCTTTCTTCCCTTCCCTTCTCTCTCCCCT